AAGTGTAAGTAATACATTTACCATGCTTAAAGGAATATTTAATATCATTTTATTTTATTTTTTTACCCATTTACCAATAGGTGCCCTTCTTTGTGACACATTTGAAAACCTCCCTGGCCCTTGTGGTTGAATCTGTGTTTGAAATGCACTGAGGGACCTTAAAGATAATTGTATGTGTGGGGTACAGAGATGAGGTAGTCATTCAAAAATCCTATTAAACACTATTATTGCACACAGAGTGAGACCATGCAACTTATTATGTGACTTATGGGATTTTTTTTCACCCAACCTTTAACCTAAATCCAATAACTGCGTGACATTTTTTGCTGAATTCACGTTAGTTAACAACTCAACCAAATTTAAATCAAAACTAGACATTGAACTGACATCTGTGCCCAGTGGGATGCAACTGCTGCCAATATGATTTTCTTTGACATGGATTCAGTCTGTTAGGTAGCCTAGATCTTTTCTTCCTTTCACCCACTCTAACCTGTCATAGACTTTGCACCTAAACAGTTTACGCTTGGATCAACCCTACTCATGTTAACTATCAGCGGAAATTTGGATAACCATGCTAGCTTCGCCCTCATGTGGGTGCTAGCAAGCTAGCAAGCATACTAGGTAGTGTTAGGTATCATCAGTCAATCCAGTAGGGGCATGTCCTAATGTAGCAGGCATAAGAGAAACGGCTGAGCGGAGTTTCTACATGCGGTTTTCAGCGGAAAAGGAAGGTTGGTTTAAAATAGCTGTATCGCTATCATCCGGTTGTTGGCAATTCCACTGAGGCTAGTAGGGGCTGGAAGCTATAGTGAGCTTCGATTGGTCAATAGCACCACGATGTCTCTGATTATTTGCATAAAATTCTGCTTTCTCCAACTTTGGTTCCACCCTGTTTCCCATGCTTGCATCGCCCAATGGTCCCCCGCACACTTCGCTTCCCTCTATTGAAAATTAATGGCTTCCGATTTTTCATCGCCCGCTATCGTGTTAAGTTAAGAGGTACCGTGAATGCTCCGAGAGAGAAACGCTCTGAATTTAAAAAACAGACAATCTGACAATGCTCTGAATTTATGAACGGCCCAGAGTGCACTCTGACACTCCAGTGAATTTACGAACGCACCCTTAACGTGAACACTGGAATTTTATGATGATTTTCAACTCCTAATGTATAACTGTGCATCATGTTTTTAAATTAAGAAAATACTATGTGTTTGCTGTTGGTGGTATTATGTTGCTCCACAGATAATAATCTATTGGCCTATTTTTCCAGCCTGGTCTCATAGACTAGACGTAACATAGTAAATGTAAATCTGGGACACTCAAATTAGTATGATATGTTACGTTTGGTATGGTTACAGAAGACAGATGGCTACTTAAGGCAAAAAACGAAAGTAGGGTGGTTGGTCAGGGTGGATGGGTGAGCATGTAACGCGACCCAAAAGTTGCAAGTTCGAATCTCATCACGGACAACTTTAGCATGTTAGCAACTTTTCGACTACTTACTACTTTTTAGCTACTTTTAAATTACTTAGCATGTTAGCTAACCCTTCCCCTAACCCTAACCTTAACCCCTTTAGCTAACCCTTCCCCTAACCTTAACCCTTTTAGCTAACCCTTCCCCTAACCCTAACCTTGTCTCCTCTTATTATCTTTGGTTGACGCGAAAAAACAAACATGGTGGCGCGCACAAACTACCCATAGTTGGATTACTTTCGATTTCTAGAAAGTGTTTTACTCAATCATTTCGATCAATGTTGAGCTCATCCGTGATGTGATATATTATAAATAATAATTGCTATTAGCTAATTCATACTGTGGTTTCTGTCAGCCGAGAGTTCTCTAAATGTGACCGCTTGTGTTATGTCAATCTTTTCTCAGTTAGCGCTAGGACTAATGTAGCCTAGATTTTCAGGTTTGGATGATTGTGTATGTTGTCGCTACTTCTGTGAATGTCAGAACATTGCATCCAAAAATAAACTGGTCAAATTCAGGACATGCCTTTGTAAGTACTGTGTTTGTGCAAAATGTTTCTGTGAAAAACCAGTGTGACTAGCTCAAATACTCAATCGAAACTGGACTTTCTAAATAAGCATTCTAATCACACAAGTTTGAGCGTACACTGCAGGGACCACTGTAGAATGATCACACCCGTTTGTTGGTACGTGTGAAAAGGTTAACCCTAACCCTAACCCCTAGCCTAGCTAACGTTAGCAAGCTAGCTAATGTTAGCCACCTAGCCACCTAGCTGGAATTTGTGACATATCATATGTTTTGAAAATGTGTAACATATTGTACGTTTTCACAAATTCTGAACGTATTGAACATTTCACAAATTTGTAACATATAATACGAATTGTAATTCGTAACATCTCATATGAACTGGGCAATGGACATCCACAAATTAATACATACTATACGAAACGTAACATATCATACTAAATGGAGTGTCTCTGATTTACGTACAGAATAATACGAAATGCTCTGAGACCAGGTTGATTTTACATGACATATATAAGACATATATATGTTTACATTTTCTATTATTTATTGCAAAATACATAAATATTAGAGTTTTTTAAATCATTATACTGCTATCTTTTTTGCCATGGACTTGATCTGCTCTTATGCACTCATTATTTTTGTTTAATGCGGAACCTAATATATAATAATTGGTCGACTTACAGGAGCAATTAGGGTTAAGTGCCTTGCTCAAGGGCACATCGACAGATTTTTCACCTAGTCGGCTCGGGGATTAGAACCAGTGACCTTTCGGTTACTGGCACAACGCTCTTAACCACTAAGCTACCTGCCGCCCTAATATCTAATCTGAGCTGCCCTTAATTAGGCTTTATACATCATATGACTGAATATGATAGTTGTTTTATTGTGGTTTGAATACTGAACAAATAACGCCATATGAAAACATATTTATCATTATTTTAAACATCCCACGTGATCTGAACATTTAAAATGTGTATAGTATGGAGCATTATGGTATATGGAGTATACATCATGGAGACGCAGTAGGCATAGTGCCCAAACATCCACCAGTGCACCATGACTGTTTTACATCTATGTAAATCGTACAAATGACTATAACAAAACATTTAGCAAACTCATAACTCGATTTTTACCACCATGATTAGAAAACGTGTAATTTAAAGTTTGAATAATAAAATATAGTTATAAACATGTCAATGATCGGAGAGAAAACTCAATGACGCATCTTCTTTAACCACCGTTTATAGTTCCTTAAGTCTTGTTTTAGACTTTCGACAGAAAATAGTCACACTATAAAACTTCATAAAAAGTCATAAAAACGTTGTTGTTCTTATTTCAAAGACCACATGTATAAAGACGTGTTAAAAAATCCACAGTAAACGTAATGGGATTTAATGTCCCAGTCCTGTTCACCGGTGCCTTTCTCTAGTGGTGCTATAAAAGTCTCCAACGCTTTAGAAGTCCTGGGATCCTTTATATTTTATTTAATCTCCATTTCTTTTATTTCTTTGCACACAAGATCAATTATATGAAACACGGCGAAACTTTCAAGATTAAAACGTTCCCGATGAAAAAAAGCAGACGAGCAAACGGTTTTGGCGCATGAGACCCAAGGCTGAATCTGTGAGACGGAGCGTACACAATAAACCTGTTGTTAAACTTGCTGTGAAAATATGTTTGAAGAAAATAGACAATTGTTGTACGAAATGTATTCAAGTATAAAATAATGCCCTTTGTTGGGGAAAACTTGAGCAATGTGAGGGTACAAAAGTCCCCTGTGGTATTTACTAGGCCCCTTTGTGAAGTTTGCGCTTTGGCGTCTCCACTTGGCGCATTACCCAGGCCCCTTTAAACGCGATTGTTTCTTTCTTTCTAATGACGTTTACCGGATCAAAACATGCTGTTAATTCGATCAGAAAGCTTCACCCTTCACAACAATACCAGAATAATTTCTCCCAAAGTTTGTTAAGTTGACCGAAATTAGGCAAATGAATAGGGGTCTCCAGGCTACCCCTGACGCAGGTGACGGGGATAATGCACGTTCACACCAGCTGCATTCTTCTTTATTTCTCCCTTTTCTTTCACGGCATTATTAAAATTTAGGCCAATGAAACTATTCACTCGACTCAATAGACATTTTCTTATAGGATAATAGGATACAAATTGAGCCTCTCCAAAGAGTCCTCGGTGGTGGGTAACCCTCGTGTGCCAAATACTGCTGAGGACGCCGGCCGGTACGCAGGCGACGCTCGTGTGCCAGGCCAATCACACACCTGCCTAGGACTCCCACGAAATAAAGAATGTAAACAAAAAGCTTGCCATCTCTCATAAAAGATGGACGTGTCACCAAGTCGTGTGAGAAATGCTGAGAACAAACGGGGGGACTCCGTCTCCAAAAGATCTCCCTTGAACTTGGCGGAACAGCCTATTAAAGGCTTACTTAATTACTCTAATGGCACTGGACAGGCCTTAAAACTCAGACAGGGCTTGGATGGAAGTTAAGATCGCTTGCTGGGATTTGTAAACAGGCGATCGTGTGAGAAACGCGAGTTGGAAGAAAGAGGGGTCTTTTTTCGGCGGCTTTGTTTTCAGTGCGCGCACTGCGCCCCGTCGGATCAGGCGAACCCAAGGCTCAGTTCACATTTCCCGCCTGGGTTGTTACTATGCAAATAATATTCTAAAAGTAATCACGTGCATGTCTTTTGAACAGCCACGTGGATGAACAAAGCAAGTCTGCCCCCCTGCTATCTGATGGCTTCAGATTTTTTACTTGTTCTTTAACTGATCCTAAATGCACACATTTACCAGAAGCTTGCTCTTTAATCCTATGGAATAACTTAGACCATGAATGCTGGAGTCCCTCGGATGATCGCTTTATAAGGGGCAGCTTCTCAGCTCACCTCTCAGTCTGCCTAGTCTACAAGCTAAGGAACATATATCCAAACTGCCTCCTGGCACTAATATTTTTAATTAGAACTTTATCAGCACTTTGCCAAAGGATGGCATCCAAGATGAAGGATCGCAAGGTAGGCGCTCCCCTTGTGCGCTCTGGGATGGAAACCTACTCGGAAACCGAGGCATTTTCTAGTCGTTATTTTAATATTTATTACAATAATTTACTTTGGTACTCATAATGTACCATCATTATGTCTATGTGTAGTCAAAGGCGAAATTTGGGTCCATGGAAATCGATCGGATAGCCTACTATGCTTTTGCGCGCTCTAGTGAAAACGTAACCAATATAGTACACATTTGAGTTAGCAAAAACGACTAAAATGTAGCTAATAAATTTAAAGAAGAAAAGTGGGTTAAGTTATCACTGCAATAGTATAATTTACTGTTCGAAGCCCATGTGTGCCATACTCCATGGTTGTGTTTGAGCCTTGGCACCTGCCTTGGTCAATGCGATACTCGCTAGCGCTGTTGCGCTCTAGTGCACCAAAGTGCACCAAGGTTACCAGTAGGATAGGCTATGCGTCTCTTTGCCGTTCGGTTTCCAAGTAGTTTCGTCTTCATTCTAGTTTCAATCAGCTTTTTGTTCTAGGTTTCCAGAGCTGTACACTTTAGACCGGTCCTACGGTTGATTATGTTTGTTTGTCTAATCATTTGCGTTGTTATTTTTCAACAGAGAACTCCCATCTCCCATAAAGTGATAGAAAAAAGAAGACGGGACCGCATCAACCGCTGCCTAAACGAACTGGGGAAAACCGTGCCAATGGCGCGCGCGAAACAGGTAGCCTACAGTACAGTTGTAAAATTAAATAATCTTATTCACAATTCCTAACCGATAGCCTAAATTATCTTATTCGTTTTATATTGGCTAAATATATTTCTTACATATTGGCTAAATATATTTAAATATATTTCTTATTTAGCCTACTCGTTGTATTAAATCCTTGCTATGCGTGACAAATAGCGTAGCCTACATAATGTCTGCCATCTGTAGGGTAATCTGTTTGATTTAGTGTATTTAAACGACTTAATATGCTTTATCTAATAACTTTTTTTTCTGATGATAGAACTCGGGAAAGCTGGAGAAGGCCGAGATTCTGGAGATGACAGTTCAGTATCTACGAGCGCTCCACTCCGCAGACTTCCCCCGGGGCAGAGAAAAAGGTGCGTATTCCTGTCCGCTCCAAAGCCCACGGACCCGGGGCTCTCACCCAGAGCGCATCAGTATCCGGTTCCACCTTCTTTCACTCCATTCCGGCTGTCTCGTTGACATATTTATCGTCGTAATATCAATCATCATCACTGTAGTCTACATCGTAAATATATCCTCATATTTGAACGTAATAGCCTAAAGAATAGTGGAGTTTCGGTGTGTTTTCTAATCGTCCCCTTCTTCGGATTCCTTTCAGGTGAGCTACTGGGGGAGTTCGCCAACTACTTCCACTATGGCTACCACGAGTGCATGAAGAACCTGGTGCACTACCTGACCACCGAGGAGAGGGTCGAGACCAAAGACATCAAGTATGCAAGGATCCTGGCCTTTCTTCAGTCCAAGTCCCGGGTTGTCACCGAGCCGGTGTTCGGCTCCCTTGGCGCGTTGCCAGACCAAGCAGATTATCTGTGCCAGTTGCACTCCTCCCCGGAGTCACACCAGAGCCACAGCCCCAGCGACTCCGTGTTTCAGCAGAGCCCACCCGGACACTTCTCTTGGCACAGCACGGCGCGCAGCCCGACCATCTCGTACCCAACCGTGCCGCTTTCCGCGCCGACGCAACAGCACCACGGTGGCTACTTGTCACCAGTGCAAGGACTTGACCATCACTACTTCAACTTTTTCAACGGCCACCCGCACGCGAATGCGTTCAGTTTGCACAGTACGCAACACGCGTTGTAAATAGAAAACTGGCTACCATTTTGTGTTGTCTTTATTTATATGTGTGTTCATAATAAATACTTAAAGATTGTGGATATTGTATACTGTACAATATCTTTAAAAAAAGAAAAGTAAATGTTTATTTCCCACATTTTTTTTGTTTTCTTGTGGTGTTATAACGCACATTGGTCAATTGCTGAAAACCTCCCTAAAAACCTAATTGTATAATAACGTTGGTCTATTGATTATGAATAGGCCAATTGTTCATTCTTCTAAATCATTTATTACAGAAGAGTCAGCCTATTACAGCCAAACCACTCAGCCCATTTCTACGAAAATATATATTTGTATTTCTTAAAGGGATAGGCTAGTTCACATTTTCCCCCACCTTATTTTCAACTAACCAGGGGGTTGTCCTTTCATCCAAACCACTTTTAATCAAATCAAATCAAATCAAATTGTATTGGTCACATACACATGTAGCGAAATGCTTGTGTTCCTAGCTCCAACAGTGCAGTAGTATCAATAATTCACAACAATACACACAAATCTAAAAGTAAAAGAATGGAATTTAGAAATGTATATAACCTCCTTTAACTGGTTATTTAGCAAGTTCCAGAATATCCTAGCATTTTTGGAGCACATAGCAATGTTTGTGGAAACGGATTGTGGCCTATTTAATAGCCAGTAAGATGCTAGTTGACAAGCAACCGTGGTCCATTTATCTTTACCCTCTCTCTAGGCTAGTAGTATTATATGTCGATAGAACCTTAGGACACTTACAATTAAATAAACACTACACTAACTCACTAAACTGGGACTTCCCTTCTTCTTTGAAGGATGGACTCTTGTTAACTGAAATATGAATTATATGTTGAGGTTGACAGTTAGGCTACTCTCCTCTTCCTCATCAGACAGTTTCTCTCCTCTTCCTCATCAGTTACTCCTCTTCCTTATTAAAGCATATGTACCATCATAAACATGCTAGAGGTTGCTTTTCTATAAATTGAAGATTTTTAATGGCTATTGAAAACTGAAAAAAGAAAGAAAGTCACACACTCCCAAATATATATTATTCCTTATAACTCATTGCTAAACTAACGTTTTGGCACCCTCCAGGGTGACGTACAGATGTAGGACCTAAAACTGATCTCCCTGTTGCAGGATTACAAAAACTTGTAGCGTATATGAGGTTTAAAAACACTTCTGAAGTTTGTAAATTTCAGACTTGATTTTCCCTTACAAAAATGTATCAACCCCTACCAAAATGTCCATTAATTATAATCCACATAATAATTCACATTTCCTGTTGCTGCAGGATAATTTTCCAGCTGTAGCATACTGGCTCAAATTAAGATCCTACATCTGTATCAATGCTTTTACCAAGTTATTTAAATGCAGTGCATCAGTGCAACCAACGGCTATAGTGTGAGGTGTTAATATACAGTTGAAGTCGGAAGTTCCGGAGACACTTGAAACCCTACCTCTTTAAGGAATACCTGGAATAGTATAACAGTAATCCTGGCTCTAACCAGAATATTTGTACAGGGTAAAGGGGATCTTGAAGAAGGAAGGCTATCACTCCATTTTGCAACGCCATGCCATAACCTGTGGACGGCGCTTGATTGGAGCCAATTTCCTCCTACAACAGGACAATGACCCAAAGCACAGCTCCAAACTATGCAATAACTATTTAGGGAAGAAGCAGTCAGCTGGTATTCTGTCTATAATGGAGTGGCCAGCACAGTCACCAGATCTCAACCCTATTGAGCTGTTGTGGGAGCAGTTTAACCGTATGGTACGTAAGAAGTGCCCATCAAGCCAATCCAACTTGTGGGAGGTGCTTCAGGAAGCATGGGGTGAAATCTCTTCAGATTACCTCAACAAATTGACAACTAGAATGCCAAAGGTCTGCAAGGCTGTAATTGCTACAAATGGAGGATTCTTTGACGAAAGCAAAATTTGAAGGACACAATTATTATTTATATTAAAAATCATTATTTCTAACCTTGTCAATGACTACATTTCCTATGCATTTTGCTATATTTTCTATTCAAACTAATTTCTTGTATGTTTTCATGGAAAACAAGAACATTTCTAAGTGACCCCAAACTTTTGGTACGGTGGTGTATATTTAAATAAAACGCAAATAACAAAATATAGCTGCAAGTAGCAATGCCGGGGTTCAAGCTGTGGGCCCAATGTGCCACCATCAGCACAAATTGGACACATCGCCCTAAAATGACCTAAACTTGTGCTCCTCATGCTTGCCAAATATCCGAACTCAAAATTAAACAGATCATGCAATTTGCATATTTTGGACCTTTTCTAAATGATGTTGACTAATTTAAACGTCTTCTTCTCCAGAACCACTAGACCAATCAGCACCAAATTTGGTATATACAGTTCTTTCAGAAAGTATTCACACCCCTTTACTTTTTCCACATTTTGTTGTGTTACGAAGTGGGATTAAAATTGATATAATTGTAATATTTTTGTCAACGATCTACATAAAATACTTTGTAAAGTGGTATGAAAAATTCTAACTTTTTTATTTTATTGATGGAAAATAAAATACGAATATATTTTGATTAGATAAGTATTCAACCCCCTGAATCAATACATGTTAGAATCACCTTAGGCATCAATTACAGCTGTGAGTCTTTCTGGGTAAGTCTCTAAGACCTTTGCACACCTGGATTGTGCACTATTTGCCCATTATTCTTAAAAATAATTATTCAAGCTCTGTCAAGTTGGTTGTTGATCATTGCTAGACAGCCATTTTCAAGTCTTGACATAGACTTTCAAGCCAATGAAAGTCAAAACTGTAACTCAGCCACTCAGGAACATTCAATATTGTCTTGGTAAGTAACTCCAGTGTATATTTGGGCTTGTGTTTTAGGTTATTGTCCTGCTGAAAAGTGGATTTGCCTCCCAGTTTCTGTTGGAAAGCAGACTGAACCAGGTTTCCCTCTAGGACTTTGCCTGTGCTTTGCTCTATTCCTTTTCTTTTTATCCTAAAAAACTCCTCAGTCCTTGCCAATGACAAGCATACCCATAACATGATGCAGCAACAACCATGCTTATAAATATGAAGAGTGGTACTCAGTGATGTGTTGTGTTGGATTTGCCCCAAACATAATTGTATTCAGGTCAAAAAGGTCAAAAAGTTAATTACTTTGCCACATCTTTCGCAGTATTTAGTGTCTTATTGCAAACAGGATGCATGTTTTGGAATATTTGTATTCTGTACAGGCTTCATTCTTTTCACTCTGTAATGTAGGTTAGTATTGTGGAGTAACTACAATGTTGTTGATCCATCCTCAGTTTTCTCCTACCACAGCCATTTAACTCTGTAACAGGTTTAAAATCATCATTGGCCTCATGGTGAAATCCCTGAGTGGTTTCCTTCCTCTCCGTCAACTAAGTTAGGAAGGACTCTTGCATCTTTGTAGTGAATACTTGTTGACTCAAGACATTTCAGCTTATCATTTGCCAAAAATCATAATTCCACTTTGATATTATGGGGTATTGTGTGTAGATCAGTGACATACAAAAAAAAAATCAATTTTAAATTCAGGCTGTAACACAACAAAATGTGGAAAAAGTCAAGGGGTGTGAATACTTTCTGAAGGCACTGTAGCATCTATGGATGCACATCTTCAAATGCAATATTTTCCAAGACTCTTGCTCAAACAATACAGTGCCTTCAGAAAGTATTCAGACCCCTTGACGTTTTCCACATTTTGTTACGTTACAGCCTTATTCTAAAGTGGATTAAATACATACAAATTCTCATAAATCTACACACAATACCCCATAATGACAAAGCGAAAACAGGTTTTAAAAAAATTGATAAAATAATATAAAACTGAAATAACTTATTTACATAAGTATTCAGACCCTTTGCTATGAGACTCGAAAAACTTGATTGGAGTCCACCTGTGGTAAATTCAATTGATTGGACATGATTTGGAAAGGCACACACCTGTCTATGCAAGGTCCCACAGTTGACAGCACATGTCAGAGCAAAAACCAAGCCATGAGGTCGAAGGAATTGTCCGTAGAGCTCAGAGACAGATTTGTGTCGAGGCACAGATCTGGGGAAGGGGTACCAAAACATTCCTGCAGCATTGAAGGTCCCCAAGAACACAGTGGCCTCCATCATTCTTAATTGATAGAAGTTTGGAACCACCAAGACTCTTCCTAGAGCTGGTCGCCCGGCCAAACTGAGCAATCAGGGGAGAAGGGCCTTGGTCACTCTAAGAGAGCGCCAGAGTTCTTCTGTGGAGATGGGATAACCTTCCAGAAGGACAACCATCTCTGCAGCACTCCACCAATCAGGCCTTTATGGTAGTGTGGCAAGACGGAAGCCATTCCTCAATAAAAGGCACATGACAGCCCGCTTGGAGTTTGCCAAAAGGCACCTAAAGACTCTCAGACCATGAGAAACAAGATTATCTGGTCTGATGAAACCAAGATTGAACTTTTTGGCCTGAATGCCAAGCATCACGTCTGGAGGAAACCTGGCACCATCCCTACGGTGGGGATGTTTTTCAGTGGCAGGGACTGGGAGACTAGTCAGGATCGAGGGAAAGATTAATGGAGCAAAGTACAGAGAGATCCATGATGAAAACCTGCTCCAGAGCGCTCAGGACGAAGGTTCACCTTCCAACAGGACAACGACCCTAAGCACACAGCCAAGACAATGCAGGAGTGGCTTCGGGACAAGTCTCTGAATGTCCTTGAGTGGCCCAGCCAGAGCCCGGACTTGAACCCGGTCAAACATCTCTGGAGAGACCTGAAAATAGCTCTGCAGCAATGCTCCCCATCCAACCTGACAGAGCTTGAGAGGATCTGCAGAGAAAAATGGGAGAAACTCCCCAAATACAGGTGTGCCAAGCTTGTAGCGTCATACCCAAGAAGACTCAAGGCTGTAATCGCTGCCAAAGGTGCTTCAACAAAGTATTGAGTAAAGGAGCTGAATACTTATGCAAATGTGATATTTCCGCTGTACATTT